TTAGGAAAAATATCAAGACATTAGAGAGGGTGTAAAAATTTTCCAGAATAGTGTCAGGGAAGAACAGGATTTCAGTTATGTGGGGAGAGTGAAGAAGTTGGCATGTTATTCCTAGAGTGAAGAAAGTCAGGAGATTTGATAGAGCTGCTCAAAACCCTGAATGCTTTTGATCAATAAGGAGAAGTTGTTTCTAATGGCAGAATGGTTGGGAACGAGATTTAAGAAAATTGGCAAAAGAAGTCAAGGTGACATGAGAAAAAACATTAATAATATAAACACATCTAATTGTTGTGATTTGTAATGTGCTCAAAAAGTGCGGAAGCACATTTCTTGTAACATTAAAAAGAGAACTAGATTAATACGTGAAGGGAAAATCATTATAGCTGTACAAAAGAGCTGACACAAGCACAATGGGCAGAATGGTCTCCTTCTGTGTCATCCAAAGATTCTATGAAAAAGATTATTGTGAAAATAATGAATGTCATTCTGTGGAATTTTAGCACTGGATAATAGATACTAATGTTAAATTCGTACCCTGTAACTTTCATACTCTTGAGAACAGAGAGAAATTCTGCAGATCATCTCATTGTGTGAACATTTTACCTGTGGAAATTTATCTCATGCCAATAAACTAATTAGATAGGAGAGCCTACCTTTTCTGATCCACATTGCTTTAATATGGTATTAATCTACTTAAAATCAATTGGTAAACCATGCATATCAAAATAATGCTCGTATGAATATTTGGACCCTGTGGAAGTTTAAATTTTATAAAACAATGATACATTGGAATCAAGAGGACATTAAACACAGGGATAAACCTTCAGCTATTTAACAATGTCATCTTAACCTCAAAATTCTCTAAAGTGTCTTGTACAAAAGCTTAGTAAACTTACCATCGCTTATGTTTTCTGTTTGAACATCCTGCCAATAAAGATTCGATTGATCCAACGACTGATTTTTTTTTCCCACTTGAGTAAATTATTTTACCACACATAGAGAGACTTTAGAATTATGCCGTAACCTCTCCAGGAAGCACCAGTTGTATGAAATTTTCTGAGTAGATCCATTCTAGTATAGTACTTTGAGAACAGAAGCATGGACGATACAGTATTTGGATAAGTTCAACCATCTTTATCATTGTTTTATGTTTATCACTGTTTTATGCTTGAAGTAATTATTTATATCTGCAGTGTCTTCCAGCTCACATAATTGCATTTAGGCTTCTGAAGTCCAGACAATTCCAAAATCCAGAAATTATTTGGTCCCAAACATTCCAGACTGGAGAGATTACAACGTATTTGATCCACTGATCTGAAAGGGTCTTTAAGAACATTTCCTATGTATGAAAATTACATTGAATGAAGCACCATTGTTTTACTTTTAAACGAATGAAACAGGTTGTATTTATAGAGTAAAAGCAAAACAAACAGAGAATGCTGGAGAAACTCAGCTGGTCTGGTAGCATCTGTGGAGAGAAAGAGTTCATGTTTCAAGTCTGGTATGTCTATTATTCAGAACTTTTGCATTTACCAAACTTATTTTAAGACTGGAGAGTGTGCCAAAGGATTTCGCAGATAATGAAATACTTTTCCAAGTATCGTCTCTAATGTATTATAGTGAAATGTGGCCGCCAATTTATAAACAACTGCAACAAAGTAATGTTGGGTATTTGTTGAGGGATAAAAGTTGGGAGGTAACCACACATTCAAGGACTTCGGAGAGGAAAGGGAGTTTGGAGATGGTATGGGATCTTGCCAGAATAGGAGGTCAAGAGCTGTTAAGTTTGAGGAGGGAGATAATCGCAAAAATGGAAAAGAGAATAACACCTGAAGAGAGAACACACCTCTTGACTTAGAGACAAAAATGCTTCCAATTTTAATTTTTATTTATTCATTCATGGGAATGTGGGCTTCACTGGCTTGGCCAGCATTTCTTGCCCATGAAAAGGTGATGGTGAGCTGCCTTCTTGAACTGTAGCATTCCACATGCTGTAGGCACACCCACAGTGCTATTGGAAGGGATTTGCCAGGATTTTAACCCAATGACATTTGCAAGTCTAACATAAAACTCAAAGAGGGTCTACAGTACTAGTGAATTACATTTGTCTTTCACAACTTTACATTAAAGCCAATAATTCACCACTAAGGGGTGACCTTTCAAAAAACATGGTTTATATTTCTACACATCGCGGGTTATATGTATAATGTCTCTACTGTTAAGCTGTTAATAGCACAGAGGAACTGTGTCAATCAATTCTACACAATTCTACAATGCAATGTGTGATGCCACAAACTATATGGGAACTACCTGTAGGCAGCTATCACATTACTGGGAAGTGAAAAGTGACTCCACGTCCAACGTAACAAGAAAAATATTACATGAAGAAAAGGTAGATCTATAAATTATGATTTTTAATTCCTACTTGTGAAAGTACCTAAATCACTCGTGGAAACTAACTTCACATTATAAAGAATTGATTGACATAAGTATCACACTACCTTTTAATCAAGTTATACAATTATTGCTGAAAGAAATATGAACAATTTCTAAGCTTGGGAATGAAATTCTATCTGAAGCATTGCTAATTGAACCAAATCCAAATTATACACTTAGTTGGGGAGGGGTGGGAAATAATTACAAACACTTGATTCGAACACAACTTGTCCTATTTCTTTACAAAAAGAGTTGCTGTCCAGAGACAAAGAAACAGCATATTTGAGGCAGAATAAGACAAATCAGTTTATATAAGACTCACATTAGTCAAAGAAGATGGTGGTAGTAATCACTGATCCAAGTGACTGTTCAGTTGTCTAATAAGCTGTAAAAATGTTATGACTTCAGCCAAAGACCATGTGAAAGAATCAGTGTGGTAACAACTAAGAAACAGTAACCATTAGAAGTCACTTGTCAGAATATGTTATAGGTCCCCGAACAGTAAACACCTATAGGATGGGTATACAGGAAAAAATAATGGGGTCTCATGAGAAATGCTTGGAAATAGTCATGGGGGATTTTAAGATACATATAGCACAAATGTTTCTGATTGGCAAACAAAATCTCAGAGATAAGTCAATATAGTGTTTTCAGGATAGTGTGTTAGAGCAGCATATTTCACAGCCAACAAGAAAGCAGGCTATTCTAGATTTGGTGTTGTGCATTGAGACAGGACTAAATAAAGGACATCATAGTTCGGGTGCCACAAGGTAGCAGTAATCATAATCTGAATGAATTTTGTATTTAGCTTGAAGGAGAGTATAGTGGATCTAAGACTAGTGTTTTAAACTTAAATAAGGTAATTATGACAGTGTGAGGTCAGAGCTAGGTAAAATGAATTGGAAATTAGGTTAAGGGGTAGGTCAAGAGATGCAGTGGCAGACATTTAAGGAAATATTTAAATAACAAAGGTACATTCCAATGAGAAAGAAAAACTTTAGGGGAAAGAGGAAAAATGTAGAGCTTTAAAAGAAGTAGCTGCTGAAATAACAGATGCATTGCTTTTAATTTTCCAAAATTCCCAGGATTTTGGAACAGTCTCACGAGATTGGAAAATGGCAAATGTAACTCTTCAATTCAAGAAAGGGAGGTAGAAGGTAAGAAACTGTAGGTTGGTTACTTTAACATCTGCAACAGGACAAATGTTGGAATCTATCACTAACGATGTTATAGCAGGGCACAAGTCATTACCACTCACTGTGCAAAAAAGGTTGTGCCTCTTTAAAGCTGTAAGCTTTAAGCTTTAAATCTGCATCCCCTAGGCCTTCTATCATCAGCTAATGGGAACAGCTGTCCTTTGTCTATCTTATCTAAACCTCTCATAATCTTGTTAACTTCTATCAAATTTTCCTTCAATCTTCTTTGCTCCAAATCATATTTCTACAGTATCTGTCACCATATCTCAAAGTGTTCCACAGCCAATGAAGACACAATACTGAAACAAACCAATATCCAAGATCTTCACATGGCCCGTATCCAAAATGCCTCACTGAAAACACGGGTCCTGGTGGACCATGTAGAAATACAAGTGTTGACAGTCCACTGCCACCCAGGTAAGGTTCAACAAAGCCCTGCAATTGCTCATTAAGATCCACGAAAAGAGTTCACTTAGACTTCTATTTCATGTTTCGCCTCTTATGTTTTTCCTGTACATTTGCTTCCATTTATACGCAGCTCTTTGTGTTGAGGATTTCAGGGTAAATAACACCAGTATGAGAGGGTTTTTGGAGTCTTGAGATTCAAATGGTATTCCAACAATGTACATATTGGTGGAGTTGAATCCAAATGGTTATTCTGAATATAGGAGTTGTGCAGTCACCTACTCCCTCCACCCTAAGTGTGACCTTTCAACTTTTCATCATGAACTGTCCTGCCATCACACCATCGAACCAACTCTTCTCTAAGAAATATTAATATCAGAGTTGGTAAATTAGAAGCAGTGTTTAATATTTTATTAATTGGCTGAAAATAAAGTTTACTGCAATATAACTGGCAGACTGTTAGTAGTTCTGGTTTCCAAGGTCAAGTACAGGGTTTGGCCGGGTGTGGATACACTGGAGGAAACAGTCAATTCAGGAAAACAAACAGAAACCCAAGACATTACTCTTTTCTGCAACAGCTGATGTTTACAAAATCCATCAAACTCGAAACAGGAGGGCCGCGCCCGCTGCAGCGTGGACACATTCACACACACACACACACAAAAAAAGCAAATTCTGGAACGAACATTCCCCTAATTCAAAACATGCCCTTGCTCATTTGCAGTGAACATCGTCAGGGCTGGTTCATTTCGTGCCTTCTTTAATAGCTACCGCACAGAACTCAAGACAATTTTAACCTCTGGATCCGTCCCTTATCGGTTTCTTTAGCAAACCAACAAAACACACCGCACCAAAGAGATCTGGATTTAGTCTTAATCTCGATTAATCATTAATTACTTGGTGTAAGGCTCTCAGACCTCCGGGTGTATGCGTGGAATAATCTAGTGAGCAGAACCACTCTGCTTGTCTCGTACAGATTCAAATCACTGACCTGAGATGTGAAGCATATGGCTGCTAACCTTTTGATTCATCGCCCTCCCCCTCCCCAAACTCGCTCTGATGCCAAACCCAGCAAAACAACTCCATGGGAAGTTAATTATGGGGAGAGAGAGCCGGAGAGAATGAAAATCAGTTTATGATCGGAATACTTTGCTGAGGGAAATGATAATACGGTTACTTGGCTCAATAAAAGGAGAAGAAAACTTTCTGGTAGGTAATGCGAGTGAAGAGAATGCAGAGCAGGGCACTCACCAGGACCACCACAAACCTCTCCTCCAGCTCACTGGGCTCGGGCATTGGCAGTTTCAGGGGCAGGGAATGAGCCCGTAGATCCGTGTGCTGGGAATCCATACTCCCGGCGTTTCCCATGATCGTGCCCCCCGGACCGAGCCGATTTCCAGCCTTCCTTTTCTTTGCGAACACTGAGTTAAATGCAATGCAAAACAAAAACCAAAAATCCTGTTGTGATCTTCCTCACCGCCTCCCGTCTTCAGTACTCTTTCTGTCTCCCCGCCTGGAACCTCTCACAGCAGCTTAACACCAAGCCCCACAATGTGTCTGCAGATCTCCCTCTCCCTCCACCATCATAGCAGCGACTGCATGCAAAATCGCTGGCAGAGTAGCTGCTCTCTCATTCTTCTCTCCAACCCCTTCCCTGACGGCTGTCGGACGGAGGCAGAGGGTCGGCTCTAACTGTTCCTCGCACAGTCTGGGCACCACTCCCCGTGTGTGCAATGCATGATTCAGCTGGAGCACTACAGCCAGCTAATCCCCAGCTCCATTCACACAATAAGCGCTTTGATCACAGACACACAGCCAGCTCCTCAGCCAGGGCAGCGTTTGCGCACCACGCACAGCCCTCATAGGGGATGGCATGGCTTGGCTGTGGGAAAGCTTGCTGGGATTTGTAGTTCTCTGGGTGGCAGTGGAATTTGTTTAAAGATTGCCGCATTGTGATGTTTTCAAATCCGCCAGGGTCGAGGCTTCGACATGGTCAATGTTCAGTTTATTGTGTCTGTTTTTAATCAATCTCTTTCACACTTTCCATAACAAAAATAAACTTCAATTTTGAGTGCGGACTCAATTCGAGTTATTTAAACGGTAATGTATACTCTGCACAGACTGTAGGGACGTATTTCCTTCCTTATAAATAGTAAAGGTTTGCAATTTGATGAATTTGAGTGAAATTTTATTTGGCGCCTTCCACATCCTCAGGAATCCACAAGTACCAAAGGGACTTGTCTGGATGGGTATATGAATAGGAAGGGTTTAGAGGGATATGGACCAAATGCTGGCAAATGGGACTAGATTTATCTAAGATATTTGGTCGACACGGACAAGTTGGACTGGAGAGTCTGTTATCGTGCTATACATCTCTATGTCTCTATGACTTGCATTTATATAGGGCCTTTCTCAGCCTCAAAGTCCCAGGCATTTTGCAGCTGATTAAAGATCACATTGGGTGAAGATCAGTTCTGTGGAAGGGTCTCCAGACTTGAAATGTTAACTCTGATTTTTCTTCACAGATGCTGCCAGACCTGCAGAGTTTTTCCAACAACTTTTTTGTTCCAAAGATCACATGGGGTTGACGGTAACTTACTAGCTTTGATAAAGAACTGACTAACCAACAGAAAGCAGACAGTCCAGATGAATGGGTTATTTTCTGGTGAGTAAGATGTAACTAGTGGGGTGCCAAGGGGTTCGGTCCCCTGGGACCCAACAATTTACAGTTAATATTAATGACTTGGATGCTGGAATAGAATATAGTATAGCCAAATTTGCAGGTGGAAAAGTAAGGTGCAATGAAGAAATAAGAAATTTACAAATGGATATGTATAGGTTAGGTAAATGGGCCAAAATTTGGCAGATGGAGTTTGTGGTGAATATGTGTGAGGTTATCCATGTTGGGCAGAAGAATAAAAAGGTAATGTATTATGTAAATGCAGAGAAACTTCAGAATGCTTTGGTACAGATGGATTTGGGTGTTCTCACACATGAATCGCAAAAAACTAGGATGCAGGTTCAGCAGGTAGTAAGGAAGACAAATAAAGTTGTTGCAACTGTACAAAGTCTAAGAGAGACCGCACCTGGAGTTTTGCGTAAAGTTTTGGACCCCTTATTTGAGAAGGGGTGTAGCTGCACTGGAGGCAGTTCAAAGGAAGTTCACTAGATTGATTCCAGAGATGAGGAATTTGTTTTATGAAGAGAGATTGAGCATTTTAGGCTTATACTCTTTAGAGCTTAGAAGAATAAGAGAAGATCTAATTGAAGTAAATAAGATGCTAAAGGGAATTGGCAAAGTTAACGTCTGTGGGCAAGAGAGATGGAATAAAAGTTTATAGTTTTAGGATAAGAAGTAGCAGATTTAAGACAGAGATGAGAAATTATGTCTTTCAAAAGGTCATGAATCTGTGGAATTCTCTACCCTAGAATGCAATGGATGCCAGGGCATTGAGTATATTTAAACAGGAGCTAGGCAGATTTTTAATTAGTAACATGTTAAAGGCTTATGGAATGCGGGAGGAAAGTGGAGTTGAGGCTGAGATGAGATGTAGAGCAGGTTGAAGGGGCTGAATTACCAGTTCCTGCTCCTAGTTTTTATGTTAAACACTTCTGAAGTGTACTCACGATTGCAAGGTAGGAAAGGTGGCATTTAATGTAAGCACAGCAAGCTCCCACAAACAGCCAACACAATAACGACCAGGTATTTTGTTTTACTCGAGGAATCCAGAGATAAATGTTTAACAGGATACTCCTTCTCTGCTCTTCTTCAGAATAATGTCATGGCACCTTTTATATGTACACGGAGAGGAATATGGGGCCTTGGTTTAATATATCCACCAAAAGGCAAAGAATGCAATGATGCTGCCCTTCTTCAGGACTACACTCAGAGGGACATGTATGTTCAATTCCAAGGATGAGACTTCAAATGACAGTCGTTTGACTCAGAGTCAAAGGGTGGCAGCACTGAGCCAAACAGGGTAAACAGGCAATTGTAGAAGAACCACGCCTCAAAATCAAGATGCTGATGCGTGCCATTTTGCTTATAGGGTTTCTGTGTAATCTGAGCATTTGTGCTAATTATGACTCATCTGTATTAATGTTTCATTGTCATTTTTATGTACACATGTTGCAATGCACACAACATATTTAATAAACATTTCATACATTGAACTGAATGGCCCAGTAAAGGTTTCATCATGCTCACTTCAACATCATGGGGTTACCATTAACCAGAATCAGAACTGGACTAACCATATAACTACAGTGTTTACAAGCGCAAGTAAAACTTTCAAACAGTTGAAACCGTCAAAGTTAATTAAACAACAGGGAAAGTGAAGAAAGCACAAGCAAAAAAAAAAGCTGCTGTAGCTTCTGGGAATTGGGACTTGTTTGCCTTTACAGCAACAAATTTACAGTCAATAAATTATTACTTCACCCAGATCTATTGGAAGCTGGGTGTCAAATAAGTGGTGTCTGTCTTGTTGCACCACTCCTATTTTGAAGGTGATGTTCTTTGGAATCAATGTCCTCATCTTCCTCCTCAGAAGACTGCTGCCACTCTCCCAGCTCTTCAGTATCCATCATATCTATTCTTTGCCTGCTGCAGTTGTGCAGAGCACAGTACACAAGGATTATGCAGCATACTCTGTCTAGAGGTTAATGGACCCATGTCCACGCAAATACATTAGGGGATCGTAAGAGTTGTGGATTTCTGAAACCTTGTCCTTTGTCTACTCTTCCTCCCACACCACCCAAGAAATGTAGTTTAACACATGAGGACATATTTACATAGATATTTTCTAACCAACCTATTCAAAGATATAATCACACCTCTGGAGCAGATGGGAATTGAACTTGAGTCTCACTGGTTCAGAGGTAGGGACATTGCTACTGTGCCACAAGACACTTAGAGTCAAGGTGAGATGAAAGCCACTCTGCAAAGTTATGCAGCCCATGAAATGTTGGATTGCCTTTGAAAATTGTAGCCACGGTTGACATTTTAAATATTACCTATGATTGCTTTTGCTTCACAGAAATGACTGTGGCCAATTTGAAATGACTAATGACATGGACAAGATTACTTGTGAACAGGATTAGTATTCCTCATCATTGGTCATTGCATGTAGGTCACATGTAGAATTCTGTTATAACAGATGTCTTTAACCTGTACTGTGTAAGTGCCTCATCAAAGCATTGTATCATTTACAAGTGGAGACCATATTCTTAGGGGAAAAAAACACTGATTCCGCCACTCTGGGTGTTGTGGTAACCATTTTTATTTCCATCGCACATTTGCAATTCAGATGAGGATAGAAGGCCACACAGGTATCGTTTCACAAAGTGTGTCACGGGCTCAGATTATCAATCAAGGTTACCCCCCAAACACTGATGTTCCTTGCTTCTTTGTACTCACTTTCAATCCCGTCAGGTTTGAGTTTCCACACATTCCCACCCAACTCTTTTATTTAAGTCTTCATCTCCCACCTTTGTCCCCTGAACTCCAGGCCTACAGCTTAGTTATGTTCACCATCATGATAAATTTGACATGCACCAGCCTCACCACATCATCAAGGTACATCTCCCATCTCACTTAAAATAGAGTTCCCCTTTGCAGCTCACTGACAACTTTCATTGTAATGTTGCTGCCGGGCCACTTTGTGTGCAGGGTCTTATGTATTGTTACAAGATGCATCTCAGGAATATTTGTTTGCTTAGTCACTTTGTACCTACTTGGACGCACACAGCATCTGTGCCATGTAGAGGCCAAGATGCTAGTGACTGTCGATGACAACCATCCCTCTATCTCCGCACAGTAAAATGTGCTCTATAACGCTTTATCATGTCCCACACTTATATGTTGAATTGCCCCCTTTACAAATATTGTCCCCTCTCATCCCATGGACAGCCGCCATTCCCCATAGTTGATTTCTCCAGTGCCCCCACCATAGCATAGGCCCCTGATAACACCCTTTGACTTTCAGTGAACAGACGTCCAAGAATTATGGTGGCACATTCCCCTGACAAACTTGAAAAGACAGGCCCAACTCATGAGTGCCCAGATTCCTGACTCAAGACTGTGCTGTTCCCTGACTTTCTTACCACTAATCCCAGGAATGGTTGCACTTGACCTGGTGGCCCCCTCCCGAGAGTGCAACAACATGGAATCCCAGACCTTGACTGTCCCAAGTTGTCAACTAGCTGTGTCGAAGTCCTTCAATAGAAATTGGGCAATGCCACTGACTGAGTGTGGCGATACCCTTTGATTCACCACAGCCCCCTTGAGTTGACCTAGGACTATTCCTCTTAGACTTTGTGAAATGACCAATTGACTGAAGCTCATTCAGTGTGTTTGCTGTCTAAGCTGTTAGTACATGGTTCTTGTTTGACATTATTATGGAATAGTGTCATACAGGAGCATGTCCACCCCTTTACTGATCACTGCTGTCTACAGTGATGAGCTGCCTGCTTTTTCACCTGTGCGAACAGACAAGGCAATACAGAAGTACTCTGAGTTTGTAAGATCAGAATGATATGGTAATGCGGAAAAAGGCAATGCATGGCACTGATGCTGTGAGTGTCCAAGTAGGTACAAAATGACTGCTAAGAAAGCAAACAAAGAGCCCTGAGATCCATCCTGTAATGGTACCTGACCCTGCTCACAAAGTGGCTCGGCAGCAACATTACAATGAAAGTTGTCAATGAGCTGCAAAGGGGAATTCTATTTTCAGTGAGATGGGAGATGTACCTTGACGATGTGGTGAGGCTAGTGCATTTCAAATACTAACCTCTGTACATAGGGGGATCACCACCATTGTGCATGCCCAGAGATGCAGGGCATTGCTGGCCAAGGTGGAGGTCTGTAAGAACGAAGAGCAAGCTAGAACCATTAAGTGCACCAGGCACAAAACAACACCATACACATAAATAAGGTGAAAATAGGTAATAGTAAGATATTAATGCAAATAGGCCCCTCGCCACTCACCAGCGAGACTCTCATCTCATATTAAAACCTTGAATGAAAAACCGGACATTTTTTTTCTGAACATTGAGAATGTCATTTTTCCAATCTCATCATTGTTCACATCGTTCAGGGGCTAGGCGGATTCTGCCCATTACTTCTTGCAGTTGGGGAATCAATCACAAAAATCATCAAATTAAAACGTCACAAAGTGAGGAAAGAAATTAAGAGAAAATGTCTTTCGCAGCACATTGTTGGAGCATGGAATGCTTTGTCAAGGGAATTGCTAGAGACATAGATTATTGTGACTGTTTTTGAAAAACAGGAAAAAAATTCGAGCAGAACAAAGCAAGAAACTATGATGAGAAATTAGTCGGTGGTATTAAATTCAGATTGTTCTGGCACACAATTTGTATATGAACACCAAGTTGAATTGTTTTGCTCTGCGCTGTAAATATAGTAATTCCTACTTTTTTTTCTTGATCATATACTATTTTATGATACTGTCATTTTTGTATTTTGTCAAATACTACCTCAGCACAGAGTTCACTCTATCAGTGGCCTAGTACCTTGCTTAATCCTTCTTTGAATAAAATAAAACAAAACTGCAGATTCTGAAACTCTGAGACAAAAATAGAACTAGCTATAGAAACTCAGCAGGTCTGGCAACATCTGTGGAGAGAAAGCAGAGTTAACTTTTGGAGTCTAGTGATCCTTCTTCAGAACTAGAGATTTTGAACAGGTGGGAGTCTCAACCTTTACACAGTGGTGACATTCTCATCACTGCATCAGAACGTCACAAGTTCAAGCTTCATTTCAGAAACTACAGCATGGAATCTAGGCTCATATTTCAATGCAGTTTTGAAGGAGTGTTGCACTGTTAGATATGACAGCTTTCAAATAAGATATTGAAGAAGGGTCTAGGCCCGAAACGTCAGCCTTCCTGCTCCTCTGATGCTGCTTGGCCTGCTGTGTTCATCCAGCCCTACACCTTGTTATCTCTTGAAAAACCAAAGCCCTGGTTTCACTCTTCAGTGAAATTAAAAGATCCTGTGGTAAGACATGAAGATCAGCAAGGCTTTACTGTCCTGGCCAATAGTTATCATTCAAATAACATCACTTAAAAGTGATTTTATATTTAGCTCATTACTGTTTGTATATTGGTTTGCATTCTCCATTGCATATTGTAAGAACCTGCAGGACCTCATTGTTAATCAGGATATTATTACCTAAAACATTATATATTACACAACTGGATTAATATTTGTAGTAGATTGAGAGGCTCATTAATTGTTTAAAGTATTAAAGGATCATTGTAGCAGATGTATTATAACTAAGCTTTTGTTTGCTGGTAGCAGAAATAACTCACAGAAATCAAATCTCTGAAAACTGCACATTACTACAATTTGCACAGTACTATTAAGAGGCATTTCCCCTTATATTTTGGAAAAATTCTGGATTCATAGTTCTTGCATTTCAGCTCTTCTAAATGTCATTGAAACATTTAGAAATGATCAATAATACATTCTATAGTGGATAGACAATTTTCTTAATCACGTTCCGAAAAGGGTCAGCGATTTTAATAAGAATGTTCTTTAAAACAATTGCAATTAGCTTTCAACTCTCCTTTCTATTTGAATTGAATAGTTTGGACTGTGATTTATTGTCCTAAAATTCAGTTCCTAACCTGTACCCACAACATCCTGTTCAGTCATATTTACACATTCAAAATATTACTGAAGGTAGGAGGGACTAATTCCACACTGCATTATATGTGGTGTTAGGTATGCCAAAGAAAACAGCATTAGTCAAAACATGAGGTGCATACTTCAACATCTGATTCATACATAGCTATGCACAGCTAAACCTGACTAAACATTAAATCACACATGGGAACGTTACTACCTGTCTGTTGGATAAAACTTATTCATCGTGTTCATTGTTATTCAGTAATGACTATAACTATTGCAATTATAAACAATAAATAGGTGCATTATTATTACAGACCTTGTAACACAGTGCAGCATCGTAAAATTACATTCCATCTGGCACAAATTACGCAAATTCTAGAGCAGATGCCTAAAGCATAGAGATAAGAAAA